GAGTGCTGGGGGTGAGAGGAAAAGACAGCAAGCTTTCAGGTAATGAAACTGTTGGAGTTCATTAATGAGCATCTTTTCCTTCCCTATTCACAAAACCGCCATGCCTCTTTCAAAGGTAGGAAAGTGGAGAAAGTGCTTCTGTGACAAATCTTAGTACAGTACTAGCTATAACATTGATTCTGAGCATCTGGATTCATAGGATCTCCTAACAGCTAGACCATATTGCTGCCTGCTATACAACAATTAATCTCTTAAAAGATTAAACAGACTTTCTTATAGTTATTTTAAGTAAATAACTAATATAAAGCTATTGTTCTGGCTTATGCGACACCATCCTGTTCACGTCATCAGAAAATTTAGTGGTTTTCCATTTAAGAGGGTTATTTCTCCCCCACCCCTGAATGATGCATTTTGCTTCTGCTCTTAATGTCACTGTTTTGCTTCGTTTTCCTGTGTTGAGTATTTTGGCCACAGGTTCCAATTGAAATATGAGTGGGAGAAGCTCCCTCTAAAAAGCCTGCTTAAAAAATGGCTTGCAAATATGGCACAACGATCTTCAGTTTTTGTACAGTTTGCAGGATACCAGTAAGGTGTAACCTGTAGTAATTAAAGGCTTACACCACATTGCCTGTATCCTCTGTAGGATTTTTTCAGTTTATTTTTAGGCCCTGTATTTTGACTGAGGCTTGAGAAGTAGTTTGGTTTTGATTTCCTTCACATTGATGGTTTAGGCATACTTGTGCATTAAGTGCTGACAAAGCTTTGTAGCCAGGTGCAGAACAGAATTTATTTGGGTATCCTCTCATTCTCGTGTTATTATGAGCCTTTTCATAAGGTTAACGAGAGTAGATTAGTGATTGGATGAGAACTGCAATATGAAGTTTCTCAGTGAACTTTATGCACAGAAAGTTCAGGACTCTCAAATAACCAGAAGTGATTGAACTGGCAGAATAAACCATGTGTGAAGATGGTAAAAAACAGCTGAGTTAATACTGACTGTTGAGAGCACCCTAACTTTTTGGTATGTAACAGGTGTCTTCCTTTTGGATAAGGAGGAGTTAATCATGCAAGGTGCTGAGGGACCATGGTTTACAGACCATCAGGGTCTGGGTACCTCTCTATGCCTTTCCACAGCATTTCTGTAACTGCCATTGTAGGATTTATCATAAAAACATGGAGTTTGGAAAGTTCTTGCCTCCTGCCCAAAGAAGACCAGATTGCTCAGGGCCTTATCCTCATAAATAATATATCTGTTTACACACAGCAACATAGGATCTTTTGAATACCTTCTGCCATCTGATTTGGAAATGCTCACTTTAAACCTAGCTTTCACTAAATAATTATAACACAGACATCCTCAGAGGAAAGCAAAGACCGGTATCAGCTTTTTCCTTAATTGTAATTGTTTTAGAAGAACATACAGAAAGCATAGTACTGTAGAAAAAAAAATCTTCTTTTTTTAATTGAACTTGACCAGTTTAGCTTTTTTAATAGCTCCAGGAAAAGCAAAAAAACCCAAATCTTGTATTCCTTTCTCCTTTCCCCACTTACCCCCCAGCTCTCCTGCCCCTGAGTCCATAGGTATCTTTGAACTGTGCGTAATGACAGGTGCTTCTGTAGGATTCCTTGATACTAAATTTACTACTTTAAACACATTGAGATTTACTGTAGGTGGTCTTTCTTCCTTGTCCTGGAATTTAGCTGTTTGAAGCCCCACATGCTTATTTTAACCAAGTATACAGTGAGAGTTGAATTATTGTGGCTTTATCTGCTTGTCAGTGACAACAGTATTTTTCCTGCACAGTTGCAGTTTCTCTAATCTCAAGACTGAAATGTTATCTAGAAGCTTTGCTAATGTTAACTCCTGCCACCTCCCTTTCCTCCAGCCTTGTATTTAAATTCTTGTTTTCTATTGCCACCAGACTCTCATCTAAGGAAAGTGGAAGCTGTGAAGTGTGTCTGTAGAATTATCGGGATCTTTTCTGCAAGTTCTTGGTTTCAAGATAACTAGCAATTGTTCTTCTATTCCTATTGCACTCTCTCTGTGTTAATCCTGACCTGAAGGGACGCTTTGGTCTGGGAGCAGATGCCTGTACTTCAGCCTTCCATCAGGAAGTTACTAAACTGTAACAATCTATTTATGGTAGCTTCTTTTGTACTGCTAATAACCCAGCAAAAGCTAAGATTAAGCCATCTCTGATTTTGTTTTGTGTGCGTTTGGTTGTAAAGACAAGTTAGAACCAATGAAGTCAGCAGAGGGGAAGGACAAAGGAAGTAGAATCTTGATTCCAGTAAGAATTTTCTTTGTCCGTTGAACAATGGGAATCCTTATGAATTCTCTAAATTTGGCTTTTTTATTTATTCAGATGTGAAAAAATTTAGGCTTGCAGAAACTTCCAACAAATTATTCTGAACTAGGGGGTGGGCAGGGAAGGAGTAACTTTAGCCCACCATTAATTGCACTAGCAGTTTCCTTTTGGCTTTCATTACAAGTGGTTGTTACTTGAAAAAGAATTCTGGTTTTTTGGGGTTTGTTTTTGGTTTGGTTGGGTTTTTTTTAATAGATGGTGATGCTTTTGTATCTGTACCTTTTGGGCTTCTCGTAATGGGTCATTAACCTTTTTTCATCCTTGTGTTGTGGCTTGATGTTTTTCTTGTAAATGACAACGTGCCCATTTCTAAATTGATTGCACTTTTTTGATCACATCTTGCTCTATGGGTGAGCTGAGATCCATGTAAACATTATCTTTTTCGAAGGAAGTGGAATTAAAGCTGCTCTAGCACCTGCTAATATAGGATGCAACCAGACTTCCTGTTCAAGAGGAAATCCTAATTTACTCTTCCTTGTAAACTGAAGGCTGATCAGCTTACCACATAGTAACCTTTTGACTTGTAAACACTGTGTTCCTTTGGACTGCTTTTAGCCTCTAGAAATTATTTTCCTCGTGCTTGGTGGTAACTTTAACAGTAAACTTTGACTGTGTTGAATATCATGAAAAAGCAGCAACCCTTTTCTGCTGAACTAAATTTAATGCAGTCAAGCATACCTACAAACTCAAGTAGGTGCTTAAGATGCCTTCAAGTTCTAAGAAGGTGCCTGTATTTTTCTTTGCACTCTTAATCACCCGTGCAGTATTAAACAAAGAAACTTGTTACCCATTGGGTATGGAAAACAAATTGAGTTATTGTGATTATTTGCTTTGTGATGCAGACTTTCAGCTCTTGAAAATGCTTGTTGTATGTGGGTGGGGAGTTGGCTCTAGCTAGGATAGTCATGGTGAATCACTGGCAGTAGTGCCAGGTTTGGCATGGATGGAGATTTGGGCTCAGGCCAGTAAAGTGAGTTACAGTGCTTTTTTTATTGTTTATTACCAGCCCCTGAAAAGATTTTTCTGTCCTTGAGGAGGAAGGAAGAGATCAAATTTAGCAGGAGCACTATTTGCTTCCTCTTACTGCTAATACAGCAAAAGAAAGCCGCTTCTGAAATATGTATGTTCTCCAGCCTTCTGACAGCTTTGCTTAGATGAGCAATTGGAGGCCTCTGGACTAGGTACATAGCTGAGGCTGTCCTTAGGGATCCCACAGCTGTGAGGTTTTGAATGAGGAGCAGATACTGGGACTAAGAACTCAAAGTAATTCTAGAAATTTATGAAATTCTAGAAATTTAGGAAAAAAAAAAAAGTCTTACGAAGATCTTCATCTAGATTCCTTCTGCCTATGTAAATAGTAGAAATTTAAATAATATGCTGCCAGCATAGCCTGTTCTATTCCTCTGCGGATTGATACAGCTTACTGAAATGGTGGAGGTGGATTGATTCACAAGGAACCAAGACTTCTTGTTTATACTTCTTTTTCTTGTCTTGTCTCACCACACCCCAAAGACTTAAGAATCTATTTTCTGTTCTTTTATGGTATTCAACGCATGTTGATAATAGAATGCTGGTGTTAAATCTAAAAAAAGTAGTTTTCTTTCTAATGCTTTATTCCCTTAGGCGTTAAGGCTCCACTGGCATGCATGTGCCCAACTTCCATTCACTGTGTTTTTATGCATCTCTCTGTTGCTAGTATGGCTCTTATATTGTTTATAAGAAATACTCTTAAAATAACATGCAGAACTTTTTTGTTGGCCCAAAAGAGCAAGCTTACTATTTCCTTTTGATAAAATGTGTATGATATATATGTTTAAAAAAAAAAAAAAAAGGCATTAGCCTATGTCCTTTTTTTTAAAGTTCAGACTTTAACACTTTTCCTGTAGCATAAACAGTTGCTTTTGTTAGCAGAACTCTGTCACAGATAACACAAAGATAGTGGTCTTTGAAGAAATCTTGTGAAAAAAGATTTTAACTCTGTTAAAAACAAATGAATTATTGATGGCTTTGGTTTCTGTTGTCTCTCCTTCTTTCTTTAAAGAGCACCCTTTTCCATAATGTCACTAGAGAATATTGAGGATATAATAGGATAAATCTGTAAAAAGGGTTCTCTTGAGAAACTAAGTCCTGAGAAAACTGACAAGACAGCTGCATCTCTAACTGCCTTGCTCTGTAGCACTCTAGAACAAACTAGCTAATATCTTGAATGCTCCCTTCATAGGGAGAAAAAAAACTATGGTGCTTGATGCAGTAAGTCAACAGTCTCCTTTTTAAAAGTAATTTCAACTCCTTTATACCAATGACAATTTTTATCCTAGTGTGAGATGGTTATGTGAAGATGGGACTTCTTGTGAAAGAACAACTAGTTTATGTACAGTTCTCATAATGCATAGTACTTGGTGTTGTTTGTTGCTATGATGTGTAATATGGTTGAGCAAGATAAGTTCCAGTAAGGATGTTCAACAGGACTAGTATGTCCCTTCTAAACAGGAGAGATAAAGTTTTGTTATCTGCACATTGAACAGTTGACCTTGTTCTTGAGAATGGTAAGTGTAGCGTTCTAAATACCTGTAATGCTGATAATTAAGCATCATGTTGCTAACTTTTTTAACATGTGAACTTACATCTTAGGTGTCATTATGGTTGGCAAGGACAGTTCTGTGATGAGTGTGTCCGCTACCCAGGCTGTGCTCATGGGAGCTGTAATGAACCATGGCAGTGTAATTGTGAAACCAACTGGGGTGGCCTGCTCTGTAACAAAGGTACTTAACATTAATGTACAGGAAAAATAATTACAGTTGCATGATTAACTGATAACTCATTAACCATTTTTTTTCCTGCTAGTGTGCAACTACCCAAGTAGTTCTGTGCCTAATTCTTTTATGGCAGATGGTGCCTAAACATCGTAAGTATAGGAAGCTTAAGATAAAAGGCTTGGAATGGTCCCGACCCTTCTAACTCATGCCGTTGTCTCTTGCTCATCCTTCCCTGTTCTGTCGATAGTAATGAGATGACAGGCTAGCTAATGTAATATGGGGATGATGTGGGTGAATGACGTTCAAGCCAGAAAGGCATCTGTATGACTGGGGATTAAAACGGTGAGACTTGTGTTCCCTGTTGATTAATGCTTTTCTCTGTCCAGATCTGAATTACTGTGGAAATCACCATCCCTGCCTGAACGGTGGAACCTGCATGAATACTGAACCAGATGAATATCGATGTGCTTGCCCAGATGGCTACTCTGGAAAGAACTGTGAAATTGGTATTTCTGGATATTGCATGTATCTTCAGAAATCTGACACTGTTTTGGGCATGGCTATGTTCTAGTTAGCGAGGTGGCATTTTTATATGTTGCGTTTTTTTTGTAGAGTGGAGGAGCTGTTTTCTCCTTTCCAAAAGCTAGCTTGGTTTCTGAGAAGAGAACTGTGAAAAGTGATGGTGTGCCACTTGTCCTTTCAACTTGATTGTTATTTTCTGTGACAGTGGGGATATGCCAGCTCTGTCTCACCAGCTTTAGGCTGGCTATTAAAAAAAAACACTGAAGAAGACAGAAATGCTACAACAGTTTCCCTTGGATTTAGATAAGACTATTTCTTCCCTTTGGCTTCTTTACTTCCTTAATCCAAGCATGCAATTGGGCTATAGTCTCATGGAAATGGGTTACAGGTGCACCTTTCCTTCTCACCTTTCTCCCTGCTACCCATTTTCTTGTCTTCTGGCTTGCTTGCAAATGTGCATCTTACAAGCTGGCGACTAAGGAAGGTAGTAGTGATGCACACTTCAGTTTTAACTGTGGTGTGGGGTTTTGGCCCAATTTTTAGCTGCCTGAATGTGTTGACTATCCTTTTTGATGAACTGAAACTTGATTTTTAAAATCATCTTCTAATATGGGACTCTTAATACATTTGGATTAATGACACAGGTGTTAACTACTATGGAAAATATCTTCAAGCCCTCCTACAGACTCACCTTGAGAAGTCTAAATGCAAGGTTACGTGTATTCCCTGCTCCCATTGGCAAAATGGAGGAAAGCATTTAAACCATATTTCTGATGAAGTATGCTGTCTTGACTAGTGTTTAACAGATCTGTATCTAACCAACATGAAAAACTGCTTTCTATCTCAATCACACTACAAAGATAGTGTATTGCTTTTTTCATGTATTTGGAGACTTTTTCTGACTATTTTGTCTCTGAAGATAAAGGGGCAAGTGTGCAATTTTTATTTCTTTCCTATTTCGCATTAAAGATTTGGTGTTTGGAGAAAAACGAAAATTCGGTTCAACTTTTTCACCTGTAGTATTCAGTAGGGTGTTCTCTAGTGACTTTCTTTGACATGATGAATTTTTAAATCCTTTTTTTAAATGTGATATTCCCAGTCTTCTCACTTTGAATTTTGCTATTCCTTAATACAGTTGTTAAGTGTAAATGGAAAGAACCTTTTTTTTTTAACTTAACTGTTTGGCCTTAAGTTAACTAAAGTATTATCAGCAGAAGGTTTTCACATTTATCAGGATGTAGATCTTCCTATAAAGTTCTGTGTGGTATTAATGATACTATCAAAACTTGCATTTTGCTTCAGCTGGTAGAATGTGATGCAAAGTTTTGGCTAAAATAGATGAAATCTTGTCTTAACTCGCCTCGGAAGTTGTGGGGAAGCACCTTGGCTCTCCAGATGAGGAGGCAGTGATAAAGAGAGCCATATGGCTGAGTTCTATGCTGATTATTAGCAGTAGATTAGCATATGAGCTGGTTTAGGTACCTAACATCCTAGACAATGTAAATTCAGTTTGCAAACTAGATAACATCCCTGAAAGAAAGATTCCAAAAAATAAATGCTAACAAGAATTAGAAAGCCTTACCTAGCAAGGGGATTGTTTTCTTTCCAAAAATTTCCTTGGTTTCTGGGAGGGAAAATATCAAAAGTGATGGCATACAACTTGTCCCTCCTCAACTTGATTGTTGCTTATAGAATCATACTATCGTTTAGGTTGGAAAAGACCATTAAGATCATCCAGTCCA